CAGTTTCTGTAATATATTGAATTTAAAATTTAATTACAATGTATATTATTGATCTATAATTTTAGAGCAGTCGTTTCAAAACAATTGATTCATTTACAAAACTGATGTTAATTACAGGTGATCTCTATCAAAACCTAACGATAAACTTGATTTATATTTTTAAGTTGGGTTGTACTTTACATATACTCTAGATGGGGTACCCAGTTGTGGCCGAGACTTTCTCTCCGTCCCCCTTTCCCTACTCTTCTCTTCTACCCTTATTTCTCACAATCTTCCCCTCTTCTCTCATCTCTCCTCCTTATTCCCTCACCCTTGCCGTCCCATAGTTCCCTCTTACCTCCTCTCCCCCCCTCTAATCCCCTCTCCCGCTCTACCCCCCACTTCGACCCTCTCTTCCCCATCCCCCCCCCCATCTCTCTCTCTCTCTCTCTCTCTCTCTCTCTCTCTCTCTCTCTCTCTCTCTCTCTCTCTCTCTCTCTCTCTCTCTCTCTCTCTCTCTCTCTCTCTCTCTCTCTTTTTTCTCTCTCTCTCTCTCATTAGTATGTATCACGTGCCACTATATATGAGGTGTCGTTTGCATCTCTACAAGAAACACAGGTTTGGTACAGGTGGTAATCATAAATGATTCAAGAGATTAGGGGGTGGATGTGTATTTGTGGATAGGTGATATTAGACCCTGGGGAGGAAGCAGTGTGGATGAGGGCGGAATGAAGGAATTGGTAGTAAGGAACACGGAATTGATGACGTTATGAACATATATGTGTGTTTATTATAGCCAGAGAATAATTGTTAGTATTATTTTGACTATTTTACAGACATCAGTGCCTATGAACTTAGTAATGAGTAAGAAAATCAAATACTGGTTTCAGAATCGCCAAGAGGTTAAAAGAGGTTCCCATGGCACCGTGTTTTGTTTTACTCTCTTAATTAGTGCCAACCTGAACCCAGCCATGTTGGGCGTATACCTATACCAATTACTGTAAAAATTTGGATAAGGCTACCTCCAAGCATCTGGCCTCCAGCCTCAGACAGATAAGCTGACAGATGAACAGACAGACCCACAAATATATATATATATATGTACATTTTGGTAGCAGTCATTCTTGCAGACATATATTATTGAATATGACAGAAGGGGTGAGATCAGCGATTCTAGTAATATTCTAATTTTTTTTAGGTTTTTCTTTACCTTGAGAAGAAAGTTGAACAGCTAACTATCCAAAGTTCTTTTAACAATTTTATTATGCCTTGGCGCTAAGAGATGCAACTTGCAGGTACAAATCCACAGGATCCGTAATGAGTGTTCGAACCTATGCGCTGGGTGTTTGTTCCCAGGCAGGCTCTAATCGACTACGCCACGACACGGTAAGAAAATTGCAACCCTGGGGTACTCCTGCACCCTCAAGGATCCCGAGGCTTCCACTAAAGCCGAACCGGAGTCTCACACAATTCTCCCCATGCACTCTGACTCTGTCGTCCAATAGACGCCCCTCTTTCAATGCACAGAGAAATCACATTATCGTGATATATCAATGAATAAATCCACAGGAACCGTGAAGAGGGTAGGTGTAATTCTCCCTATATGCCGAGGTCGACCTTGGTGTATATGCCGAGGTCGACCTTGGTGTATATGCCGGGTCGACCTTGGTGTATATGCCGAGGTCGACCTTGGTGTATATGCCGAGGTCGACCTTGGTGTATATGCCGAGGTCGACCTTGGTGTATATGCCGAGGTCGACCTTGGTGTATATGCCGAGGTCGACCTTGGTGTATATGCCGAGGTCGACCTTGGTGTATATGCCGAGGTCGACCTTGGTGTATATGCCGAGGTCGACCTTGGTGTATATGCCGAGGTCGACCTTGGTGTATATGCCGAGGTCGACCTTGGTGTATATGCCGAGGTCGACCTTGGTGTATATGCCGAGGTCGACCTTGGTGTATATGCCGAGGTCGACCTTGGTGTATATGCCGAGGTCGACCTTGGTGTATATGCCGAGGTCGACCTTGGTGTATATACCGAGGTCGACCTTGGTGTATATACCGAGGGCGAAAAAGAGGTCGGCTACCATGCCGAACCCCAATGAGAACGGTGGAAATGTGAGGTAGTTAGCCGAGTACATATAAATTCAACATTTCAAGCCATCTAGTAATGTACATATTCCAGAGCAAGGACTGTGAAAAGCGTGTGAGGGCCGGCCTCATTGGCTTCCTGTAAGGGGAGTCGGCCTCCATGATGCAACCTTTTGGTGTCGACCCGGGTGTGTGTTCAAAACGATAGAAAACGATGTATGTTAATGCAAATAACCTCAAAATAAAAAATAATAATTGCTTGAGTGTTTTCGAGTTCTTCATCACATCATGAAAGTGCTAAGGCAAATAATCTTTTTTATTCAAACAATATTTTTAATTTCACCTGCAGTTCTTTGCATTTAATGCAATTTTTCTTGCACAAATATATATATTTCAGATAAATTAACAAAAATAGTTACCTAATACAAATCATTGAGTTATTAACCTTCCAGCTTTTTTAACTTTCTCTTGAAGTCTTCGTTAAGTAAGAGGCGAACCTAATAATCTTTCTACTAAATTCTTACTAAGCTCATAATGAGTGACAACTAAGGACACATATAGTCCTAATTCTCACTATCTTTTATTTTTATTCTAACTAATGCCCTTAATTCGAAAGTTTTACTCTCGCTTCGTCTTAATTCAAGGAACCAGTCTGGGGGCCAGGTACTTGTCTTTTTTTGTTTCAAACTTATTCTCCTGAGACTCAATCATATTCTATTGGAATGTTTGTGAAATTATAAGGAAGACTGGACTTGGACTGAGAAGTTTTGGCTATCATTTGATATGAAAACTACCTTTTTTCTCCCAGCAACCAAGATAATGTGATAACATAATGTAACCGCGTTTTTTGTGATCGGATATCATATAATATATAATTACGTTTATTGTGACTCGATAACATATAATATGTAGTCACGTCCAATGTTGTTGTTGTTGCTTAAGATTCGCTACTTGGAACAAAAAGTTCCAAGTAGCACGGGCTATGATGAGCCCGTAGTGGACTTACCTGGCACAGGAGAGGGGCTGTAACTTAGCATCACGTCCAATGTTGTTGTTATAGCTACTCGGAACAAGTTCCAAGTAGCACGGGCTATGGTGAGCCTGTAACTTACCTGGCACAGGAGCGGGGCAAGTAGCACGGGCTATGGTGAGCCCATAGTGGACTTACCTGGCACAGGAGCGGTGCTCGATCACGTCCAAGGTGTGATATTAAAATGTACTCTCGTCCAAGGTGACGTGATATCATAAAACTCTCTCGTCTAAGGTGATTCGACATCATAATGTAATCAGGTTTAACGTGAATGATATCATAATGTAATCACGTTCAACGTGAATGATGTAATTTAATCACATCCAATATGATGGGATATAATGTTCTCACGTCAAGTTGACATGATAAAAATAATGAAGTCACGTTCCACTTGGTATGATATAATGTACTCATTCATGTCAGTTTATGCACTCTTACCATGCTTCCAACCCCCACTCATGGTGTCTGATGATTAATGTTTACCCTCGATGCTTAATGCTCAATTTAACGAGATAAAACGAAATTAAAGAAATGTTTTAGGTCCTGTGAGATCCCCCCTCTCTTGGTGCGTTTGGATTTGAGCCACGAAAGTCAGTCGCAAGAACTGTGCCTCCCTCTGGCGTGAGACGTTTACCAGATTACATGATGGTAATACAGATGTAGTTTCAAGGCACGTGTCTGGCCCCGAGTAATTGATCCCTGAGTGCCAGAGTAATTTGACAAAATAAGCACAGGCTAACGCTGGTCACAAAAGAGAACTGGATAAACTGTAGGGTTATATATATAATAGTCCAACCCACACATAAGTGAAATGAAAATGACGACGTTTTAATTCGTTCTGTAGCCTGTATATATATATATTTTTAATCATTTGCTTTCTTTCCCGTGCTGTAAAAATTGGTCGAGGTAAAGAAATTGTCTTTGCAAGTGTGTGTGGAATTTTTAATATTTTCTTCATAGTGGTTACGTGTGAGAGGAGTTTTAGCAGTGACTGGTGTGTGTGTGAGGGGGGGGAGAGATATATATGTGTGAGAATAACTGTTTATTGTTGATCGAATCCTGTAGGAAGGGATTGGAATTATCAGGGGAAAACACCAAACCATTACGACCATATAGCACTTTGAAGGGGTCGGGATAAGGATTTGGGATGGGATGGGAATCCTGTAGGAGCAAAATTAAAAATTAAATCTGGCGACAGTAGTGTGTGGGTGCACGAGTGAGTGTACAGGTGACTGGTGACTGAAGCGTGAGGGACTGTCGAGCGAGGTGTCCTGTGGAGGGGAGGGGAGGGGCGGGTAAGGGGAGCCGGGGCGGGCCGAGCGTGGCCGGGTCTGGGACGGACGGAGACCCGCACAGTTGCAGCTGCACGGCCGCGGCGACCGCACGGGTCCCACGCCAGCGCGCGCGCCTCCTTACCGCCCCACGCCCGGCGCCCTCACCACGCGCCCCCACGCCGCTACCCGCGGGAACTCCGGTGCCACGGATACCCGCACCGTAAGCCCCCCTCCCACTCCAGTACCCACACACCCCCTACCCCGCGCGGCACTCCAGGGCACTACGGCACCCAGGGACTGACACGGACTATGACACTCCCATATGAGATCATGTGAGGGCGGAGGTGACACTGCCACGACAGTTCGATTTCACATCCCCATTTGTGAAGTGCCAACTATCCCCAGCCTGTCCCACTGAAACGTCCCGAAACGTCCCCCTCCATCCCTCCGACGTCCCTATTCTCACACACCCACCCCAATCCCCTTATACCGGGAGGCTGAGGACAGCTAGCCAGGACGAGGAAGAAGGAGGAGGAGGAGGAGGAGGAGCAGAAAAAGGAGAAGGAAGAGACCTAGGAGGGCATGAGCGGAGGCCATGGTGGCGGTGGACGAGCGTAGAGGGCGACATGGAGTCGTGTGTGTCGCAGCAACACTACGTCACCCCAGGGGCCACTTCCCTGCCCATGGGGGAGTACGTCCAGATGCCCCCGGATATGGGTCCTCACCCATGCAACCCCACCATGAGCTCCTACCTCGAGTCCCTCCCGCCAGGGGTTGGCATGCCCGAATACCCATGGATGAAAGAGAAGAAGACGGTGAGGAAACCCCCGCAACAAGGTGAGTCTGCAACCCACGAGGGGCGCTGAGCTCTGCAACGTGTGCATTACGCGTTCAACACGTATGCAACATCGGCTCTCGTGGTTCCTGAACACACGCGGTTCCTCCAGCGACAGTTTCCTCCATCAGAATGACCTGATTTTGTGCCTCGATGTGTTTATGTGTCGATGCTCACAGAAAGAGATTTGTGCGTCAACATGTGTCTGTGTACATTTTATGTATCGCGCACATGTCTGTGTACATGGAAGGTGTATATCGTGGATGAGTGTATGTACAGTGAAGGTGTGCGCATTACATTTGCGTATGTGTACGTTACAGGTGTGTGTATTGTACATGTGTATCTGAGTACATTGGAGGTGGATATTGCGTATGTGTACATTACAGGTGTGTGTATCGCACACATTTGTGCATTATAGATTTGTTTGTCATTTAGAGGAGTGAATACTCTGCGTATGTATGGGATGTGTATTGCCAACAACTATATCACCCAAAGGTAGATGTCACTCAGATACACATGTGTGTGTGTGTGTGTAGCCCAGCTGTACATTTGTCTGGCGTCAGGTGTATTAGTATCAACGAAGGAGGTGTGTGTGTCGGCTATGTTAGCGTCATTAATGTTGCAATAATATTTGTCTCTTACTGTTATTCAGGTGCATATATATATCATATATATATTCGTAAAACGTGTACATGACTCAAGGAACAGGTGTGAATGAGATAGATGTTGTTTATAGAACAGGTGTGTGGGGGAGAGAGAGAGCCGGCGGAGATTCCACCACTCCCAGCAGCCATGAAGCACGTGTACGGTACTCCGCCGACCGGGAAAGTCGGCCCGGCGGCCGACACCTGACCACACCACACACACGCCAATGACTTCTCGAAGCTGATAAACAAGCCTCTCAAATATTCCCCGAGGTATTCCAACCTAATATCTATACTCCAGTCCCTCTAAGAGCCTAAAATAAAATATTTTGGGTGGGGATTATAGATATTATATATCTATTGAGGATTGACACGGCTACTGCGTGTCTTGAACGTGACTTGGACGTGTCCGTGCGTGATCATAGATGCGGGTTTATATACCTGGGCGAAGGTAATCGGTGCGTGTTCCTTGCACCATCATTCACGTGCCCTCACCTTTGATCTGATTCGCCATATCTCGAAACGCGCCGTTAACACGCACGCGGACGGACGCGACAGTGACACGAAGGTTGACCGCCGGCAGAGTAAGTTACGATAGCTCCCTCGATGTTCGTGGTGGAGATTTAGCGCAATTCGTCCCACCCCCCCTCCCGCCATGCCAGTCACCGTGCCACCGGAGCCATTAAATACGCAACAGATCGCTCGCTTCCGTCTTCCTTACAGCCTCGCTGGCAACTGAGTTTCGTTATTCAGTGAGGGCGGCGGTAGCTGCTGTGGCATCGCCCGTTGTGCTGCAACTGGTCTTCTGTCCGTTAATCATCATAAATCTTGACAAACCTCCGTAAGTCGCGCTACATTGCCATCGGGTCCTTTCCTCTCCGTGTTTCGTCCACTCTGCACTCTCCACAGTACTCTGTCTCTTGTTATTACTCGTGACATTCACTCGTAAACCCCCCTTCAACACTTAGTTTAATATGAGCATTAATCTTTGTAATGATTTCGTTAGTTGGCGACGAGCAAGAGAGAAACAGGGACCTAAGGTAACTTCTGCGGGAAACAATACGTTCTTCTATTATTTTCACGATCATATTGGCGGCCTACTGTTGTTTTACGGATGTAACTGTTGCTATTGTCGCTTCTTCCGTTATTCTTCTACTGTATTTTGAGCTTTCTCTTGTTCTGCTTTATCTGCGGCTTTTGTAGTCGAGGTGTTAATGCCTTGTCTCCTTTCATCTCTCCTGCTTCTCCTCCTCCTCACATGACCACTAATACAAGTAGTAGTAAGAACAAAGCTGAAGTAGGAGAAAGGAAATTGAAGATATACACAATAAATGACTATATCTGTAGTATAGAAATATGTGGATAGCAGACGCGCCGCACAGCACAAGAGGCGTTCAGGTTTGGAGACAGTCGACAGATACTAATGTTTAATGTGTCACGCTAGACGGGTTGTTGGTTGGTTAGTGGTGATGTTGTTGGTTGGTTGGTGGTAATAATACTGTTGTTGATGGTGATACTGTTATTGATGGTGATGTTGTTGGGTAAAGGGGCGTAGTGGGAGATGGGTAAGGGAGCTCTTAGAGGTGGATAATGGGGGGCTCGAGGCGGTGGGTAAGGGGGCCTCCAGGCGGTGAGTAAAGGGGACTCCATGCTGTGAGTAAGGGGGCCTCCAGGAGGTGGGTAAGGGGGACCTCCAGGTGGTAGGTAAAGTTGCTTCTGAAGGTGGGATGAGACAAGCAAATAGTTCTAAGCTGCAGACTGGTATTACTTTTGTTGCTGGATTTCAGGTCCATCACATTAGCTTAGTATCTAACAAGCAGGAATACTTTAGTCCGGGGCACAGACGAGCCGGCAAGCAAACAATCACTGTATTTACAACGAGAAGTGAAGTATATATACACCGATTCTCGATGTATATACACCGAGAAGCGAGGCACACCTCTGAGTGTATACGGTATAAGCGGGAGTTCTTCTCTGGGTCGTCGATCATACTTCAGGAGACGCTTCTTAGGAATGATGGTAGTAATTACTGGCATTTTAGTGACTCGCTAAGTGTGTTGTTTCTAGTGTGTGGCGCTGCCAGGAAGGAGATTTATGACGTTTTCCCCGTTTAGGTGTGTATGAAGGAAGTGTTTTGACGTGACGTCTCTATCCGGTGCATGCTTGGGGAGGGAGAATTTTTGGGGAGTCGAATATTTTTTTTTTTAATTTAAATAACAATATGGTTACAGTTTTCATATATCAATTTTCAATATATATATATATATATATATATATATATATATATATATATATATATATATATATATATATATATATATATGTATATATATATATATGTATATATATATATATGTGTGTGTGTGTGTGTGTATGTGTGTGTGTGTGTGTGTGTGTGTGTGTGTGTGTGTGTGTGTGTGTGTGTGTGTGTGTGTGTGTGTGTGTGTATGTGTGAATGAAAAAAAAATATATGTGACTCACAACTGAGTAAAGTTTATGGAAGCGGTTTACTCAATGCGTTAGAAACCGCCCTTCCTCATCAACATAGGCTAAATAATCGTTATTCAAGGAGCTAAGCACCCCTGTTCATATATGAAAAATACTTTGCTCACGACCCGAAACAGATAACATTCGAACTTTTCTCGAACAGTGCTTCGCACATGGCCCCTGTTCGAATTGTATCGCTCTAAATGCTTCATCTACGTTCTTCAAATACAAATAATGACGAGGAGAATCTGAACACCTAACCTACAGCTAACTTTGCACAAATTTTTAACATATAATACAATTTATATATAAGAAAATGCCAAATTTGTAACAACAAGTCGTAAAAATTGCTGAATGCATATATGGAATCGGCCGCTGCATGGACGTGCATAGTTTACACAAGAGTTGAATAATTGCCATCAGAACCTAAACATCTAATCTAATTTGGCTCCCACTTTATACCAAATTCTAGTATAAAATATTATTTATATTTGAGAAAATACGATTTTGAATACACATTTCGTTATTATTTACGAACGCGTGTTCGAGTACGGCCGCCGCCTAGACGAACATATCCTGAGGAAAGGTTGGTGGGAAGTGAATCTTTCTAAATGTGTCGCACACGTTCTGTAAATACAAATAAAAGCTAACAGAAGCAAAACACTTAACCTAGTCACAATTATACACTAAAATATAACAAATAATCTTGATTTATGCGTGTGACGTGTCATTTCTGATTACATAATAAGGAAAAATTCACGAATGACGCTGCTTGAACTAACATAGTGTGAAGATGAGACGAAAAGCTGCAGCTGCCCCTCAAAGAATTATTTTCTAGGTTTTCGTACTGTGTAATTAATAACAGCATATTCTCATAGATAAATTAATATTAGTCTTGCTAACAATTATTTATTTTTTGAATATGATGGTGAAGTATTTATAGAGGTGAGATTCGAATATAAGAATTGAATGAAGAACTTTTTGAGAAAAGTTTGAACGTAATCATCTGTGATTTATGTTGAAAGTTATTTTTTCATCAATAAACACAAGAGATGAATGTTGAATAGAAGGGTATTTTAACGAATGTTCAGAGGATGGGAAGTTGACACAACCCACACTGAGGCTATGATCACCAGCATGTTCTGTAATATGTTGATAGTTTGTGATGTGTGCATCAGAACACGTTGTACTGAACGGGGTGAACTTGAGCTACTTCATCCCGTTGTGTGTAATTATACCTCAATAAACTTATTTCAATTTCAAAGGCTATGAGCGTCCGAGCTGCGGCCGCCCCCAAACCCATATTCTTCATTCTGATTTGTAACCAACTAATATATTCTCTTTAATTTGATATTAAAGAATATTATAATTTTGCGTATAGTTTGGAATAGCATTGGATAGGTTAGGTGGGTTGCTTCTGTTTGTCATTATTTGTATTTGAAGCTAAGAGTTGTCAAGCAAACACGGGAAGAGAGTTAAGTATTGTTCAATAAAAGTTCGAAAGTAATCAAGAAAAGTAATCATTTAAGTATCATGTGTAAAGTGTTTTTTAATCACAAACAGGAGCCTGGCGGCCGGATTAGTGCGTATTTGGTCATTGTTTATCACGACTGATTATGTTTGTTAGGATGGGATGGATGACAACTTTACACTTCGAAACTTTATTACGAAACGTGACTTCAAAGCTGCTGATAGCATACAAAACTAACAACTTACATATCTATAGAGACTTCATTATAAAAATAAAGCTGCCTCGAGTTCAGACGTAAATGTCAAATATTGACATTAAAATATACAAAAGGTAAAATAAAACTTGCAATCCACAAAACCATTATCGATGCTACGATTCGAAATATGTTACGTTCACTTTT